GATCCCCGCGTCAGAGCGTTACGCGAGATCGGAGATCGTGTCGCGAAATTAGAGAGAGTTCTGACCAGGATTCTGTCGCCGAAATTGAGTGAGTTCTGACCGGGATTCTGTCGCCGAAAGTGAGTGAGTTCTGACGGGATTCTGCCGCCGAAACTGAGTGAGTTCGGAACGGGATTCTGCCGCCGAAACTGAGTGAGTTCTGACTTCTGACCGGGATTCTGTCGCCGAAATTGAGTGAGCTCTGACCTGGATTCTGCCACCGAAATTGAGTGAGTTCTGACCGGGATTCTGTCGCCGAAGTGAGTGAGCTTTGACCGGGATTCTGCCGCGGAAATTGAGTGAGTTCTGACTTCTGACCGGGATTCTGTCGCCGAAAGTGAGTGAGCTCTGACCGGGATTCTGTCACCGAAATTGAGTGAGCTCTGACCGGGATTCTGTCGCCGAAATTGAGTGAGGTCTGACCGGGATTCTGTCACCAAAATTAAGTGAGTTCTGACCGGGATTCTGTCGCCGAAAGTGAGTGAGCTTTGACCGGGATTCTGCCGCCGAAATTGAGTGAGTTCTGACTTCTGACCGGGATTCTGTCGCCGAAAGTGAATGAGCTCTGACCGGGATCCTGGCGCCGAAATTGAGTGAGCTCTGACCGGGTTTCTGACGCCGAAACTGAGCTCTGACCGGGATTCTGGCACCGAAATTGAGTGTTCTGACTGGGATTCTGTCGCCGAAATCAGAGTGAGCTCTGTCGCCGAAATTGAGTGAGTTCTGACCGGGATTCTGTCGCCGAAATTGCCGTAGAACTGGTCCTCCGGCGCGCCACCCAGGCCCGGGATCTGGATCGGTGAGTCCCGCACCACGTCTGCCGAGGGAGGTTCGGGTCACTGGCTGGGAGGCCGCCGTCGCATACATCCACCCATCGTTTAGACGCACAGATCACCCCCCACAGCCGCACAGGTCACCCTCCACAGCCGCATAGAGCACCCTCCACAGCCGAACAGGTCACCCTCCACAGCCGCATAGAGCACTCTCCAGTCTCACAGATCACCCTCCACACCTCCACAACCGCACAGAGCACCTTCCACAGCCGCACACATCACCATCCACACCGCACGCACAGAGACTTCCAGCCGCACACATCACCCTCCACAACCGCACAGAGACTTCCACACCCAGACACCCGCACAGATCAATCTCGACAGCTGCACAGATCACCATCACCAGCAGGACAGATCGTTCACGTTCCGAGACTCAGTTTACACTCAGTTTCTGTTCATAGGGTCCTCAGATCTGCAGACCATTGCACGGGCAGGGCGCCCACACATAGAGCAGACCGGCAACATATGGCTGATTATACAAACGAGGGCAGATCATGCACATTCAAATAAACCACGTACAAAAGGGCATCCCATTGACGCATGCATGTTGGATGTTGATGTTTGGAGAGATAACTCGACCAACGGATCATCAACAGACCACCAGCAGATGGATTATTCACCTGCACATAACGGTCTAGGTGTAATGGTAGCTCGTGGAAGGATGTATCACCTTGGAATATATCACGAATGTGGGGTCCACACATAACGGTCATACTGCTTCATAGCAAAAATCGTCTTTACATGGGAGCTAATGACGCACGATCGAACAAACCATCTACACACAAATAGGAACTTTTCAAGTACAATTTGTTTTTAATGCATTACATTTTCTAAGCGTGTGTCCTTGGGGGCATGTGTCTTTCCAGAATCCTCATGATGTAGAGCAGGCGGCAGATGAAGTAGTAACACTGTCTGTGTTTGCTATGAGTCATCTTTCTGCCCGCCCCCCCCCCCCCTCGTGCGCATCATCTGGACGACAGGAGTAAACGATGGGAGAAACGTTCAGCACAGCCTGCGATAGCTCAGGACAGGTTCCAGCAACGGTAAGGACAAGAGCGGTCCTGTGTCTCAGTCATTACGTTAGAAAATCACGAACACCTACCACTCAGACTCATCTCTGCTCTTGCCCCTGTCCAAAATGGCGGGGAGACCAGCACACTGCTGGCCTAGCCTGGGTTTGTGCTAAGGTCGGTGCTGCGGTGCGTTACGACACGGCTAAACACTGACCTTGTTTGCGTCCGAGTCAGAGCAGGTATAGGTTACGGTGGGAAGGCCAGCACGACCGCCAATACTGACCTTGTCAGGTTTGGGTCGGCCGGTCCGGCGGCAGTTAGTAAACCGCTAACACTGACGTGGCTCAGGTTTGGGTCGGGGCCGGTACGGCGGGAAGGTCAGAACACCGCTAAATACCGACCTTGTTCAGGTTTGGGTCGGGGCTGGTACGGCGGCAGTTAGCACATCTCCAACACTGACGTTGCTCAGGTCTGGGTCGGGGCCGGTACGGCGGGAAGGTCAGAACACCGCTAAATACCGACCTTGTTCAGGTTTGGGTCAGGGGCGGTAGACAGTAGTTAGTACACCGCTAACACTAACCTTGCTCAGGTTTGGGTCGGGGCCGGTACGGCGGGAAGGTCACCACTGGTCGGCGGCGCCGAGTCGGTCGCAGACGACTGATCCCCCTGTACCTGTCGAGTGTCGAGTGTCCTCAGCCATTACCCGCCACGCCGCGCGCGGGCAAAACGGTTCAAAGGCGCAGCAGAAGGTATGACGTTCGCTGGGATTTAATACATAAGTAGCAGGTCGTGCGATTATGTTGTTAGACTATATCACAGCATACTAGCCACCTCACTTTACGTGCAGGGCTGATGATGCATTTTACAATGCAGTCCTGGCGGCTAAGCCATAAGGGAGTCGAATTCCGCTGAATATACACAGCTACTGATGTGCTAAGTTATGGCATTGGATGACGAACCAACTGCGTACACCACTAGCCACTCGTCTGCCCTGTACACATCTCCACGATTGCAAATATGTGCGGTGAACTAGTTTGCCTTATCCGGGGAGGCAGCACCGCGTTTTCAGTGAGTTTCTAATTCTATCTAACGAACGTGCGCCGCATTTTTACGATTCTTTTCAAGGATCATTGCTATACAGTTTTCCAAAATTAAGGGGCGGACTTATAGAGGCTACACTAATAGGCTAACCCAATAGGCTAAAAATTGGCTTAGAGGTTACATTAATAAAGGCTGAAATCCGCGGCAGAATAATGCGATTTCTTCATTCAAACTAGTTTATACTAACCGAATAACCTAAATGTCCTTGTTGCGCAGCAATATTAATGGCAACACCTAAGAGCGCTTGGAGCACTAAAAGGCGAACATTTTGAAAGGGAGTCCCAGAAAATTACAAGTAAAAGACAATAAAAATAAAGCAACGATAACCAAGAACACCTGGCTTTCGCTCCGTAAACATTTCCAAAAATTAACATCAAGCGATGCTATCCTTATATTTAGCTCAGCCGCGCTGGGCGGCTAAGACCTTCATCCGACCTTGACCGGCGAGGCATGAACAGCGGCGCCGCTGGTCGTCATGGCGACGCGGCCTCACCTCCTGGTGGTGGTGGGCGGCTCGGTGGTGGTGGTGGGGAGCGTCGTGGTGGTGGTGGTGGTGGTTGTGGTAGTGGTGGTGGTGGTGGTGGTCGGCGGGATCAGCGCCGGGCTGGGCTGGCGGGACGGCCGGTCCACCTCCTCGAATGGCCGGCGGGACCGGCCGCCGCTGCCTGCGGGCGATACGGTCAGTCCACCAACCGCCGGCACGTCATGACGCCCTCGAATATGTCAACACACAGCATACTGTGCTGGGAAAGAGATGAGCCTGAAGGCTTTGGTCATGTCGCGTTAGTTCGTGACCGATGCCTTCCGTCTTGACCATCCTGACCGGCCGTCTGAGACCGTTCATTCAAAAAGCGGTATGCACCGCAAATACTACTGCTGTCATTTCCACACTGCTATGTAGGCGTGCAGTTTTTGCAATTTGGCAGTTCAATTTCGTCAGCTTGGGGAAGACTCCACGGAACGGGAAGTGTGGCAGAGAGCTTTGAGAATACTGTTTTAGGGCTCGTTATATTGACTGTAAGGATAGGCTTGAGCGAGGGCATGTCAAGCAATCACCAGGGCCAGCCATGGCCCACCGGCCAGCAAATGGCGTATATTGTGTCGGCATTGGAATGGGACGACTGAAACCTCCTGGAAGATCAAGACCTCACGCAAGAGAGGAAGCGACACGACAGTGTAAACTGGCCTCTTAAACAGGAGGATATTTTACCCACAGTGGGCACTCAGTTGGGGCCTTAAAGAAAGTTCAAGATCCAATATAGCAAATGCCGTCAGATAAGATGATGATTATCTTTAACTTGATGGCCGCTGCCTCTATCTCCCCTTCTGGATGCCACCAATTGTTCTGCTGCTGATCAGTTAACGAGCCGCCGCATTACACGGGCAGCCGGAGGAAGACACATACCGTTGGTGGTGTCCACCCGCTCGTGGATGGTGGACTGGGCACGGCCACCGATGGCAGCGCCGCCCAGCGGCGGGTACACGTAAGCGTAGCCCTGGATGTGGCAGCTGCAGGCCACCGGCACCTGCGGCACGCGCAAGGTCACACCACTGCACAGAGAATACACAAGCCCCGGCACCTGGGGCACACGTTCGGTCACATTACTGCGCGGAGGAGAACATACAGGCCCCGGCGCACGTGGCACGCGCTCGGTCGCACCACTGCGCGGAGGAGAACATACAAGCCCCGGCGCACGTGGCACGCGTTCGGTCGCACCACTGCGCGGAGGAGAACATGGCACGCGCACGTGGCACGCGCTCGGTCACAACACTGCGCGGAGGTGACCTCGCTGCAGCAACGCTCGAAATAAGCTCGCAATGTCCTGCTTTCAGAAACAATTCATAACTCTGCCGGTGTGCAAGGCGCTGCTTCATCTAACATACTAGCCGCCTAACCGCAGAAACGCTTGCTATCCCCTGGGGGTAAGGTCTGTGTTTCACAGGACTGCACCAGAGCACTTATGAAGCCAGCCACATCGCACGGAAGTCGAACGCTGCACGCCGCCGCAAGCTCAACGCTGTAAGACGCAGCTGAGCGAGGCGGTGATTCAGTCGGCCGGCCGCGTGCCCCGACGGCGCGGGCTCGACCCCGACCGCCCTCACCTTGAAGATGTCCATGTGCAGGCCGCGCTGTTCGTCCCAGCTGAGCAGGCGGTGGTAGTTGGAGACCTGCGAGCACTGCGACTTGTAGTGGTGCGACACGTAACTGCAGGAGCCGCCCGGACGCCTGAGGGCGGAACAGCACACTAGTCAGACAGGTGGGACTACCAGCGCCTGAGGGCGGAACAGCGCACTAGTCAGACAGATGGGACTACCAGCGCCTGAGAGCGGAACAATGCACTAGTCAGACAGGGGGACCATCGGCGCCTGAGGGCGGAACAGCGCATTAGTTAGACAGATGGGACTATGGACGTGAACGGGAACGCTATCTCCGGGAAAATGCCGATCCCCGCAGAGTGATGAGGCACATGCAGTACAGGAATGTTTTGCACAGACTATGAGACGCGTCCATAATAAAGCACATGCAGAGGACACAGGAGGCGCATACAGTACATCAAAAACACGTACCGAACAAAGCAAACCCAAACAGAATATGTTGTTTTCGTATTGCAGGACGCATTAAGCTCTACCTGACTGCAATATCTGACCCCCTTGATATCACCAAGATGAGCATTTATCAGTTACGTTACCATAGGTAAGAATGAATCACAGCGCTCTAAAACGCAACGAAACTGCTTAGCACAAACCAGTGTGACTAATATATGCTCTTTCTGGACAAACATATACAACTTTGGGTCTTCCATTCCAATGGCTAACAAAATACCTCATGCGTTCAAGCTAAAAACAGCCCCTGTCCCATACGCCACAATTCCGATGTAAAGAGTGCCTTCCGCGAGCCATGACCACAGCGCAGGTAACCGATGCAACCCAGCAATGATCGGCGTCAGCCAGAGGGTATGTCCCGCTTCCTGCTGCTCTCTCGCCAGCCGGCCTCTTGGCACTCACATGCACTTCTCCATGCGCAGAGTCTGTGTGTAGCGGTCCATGTTGACGATGAACTTCCACTCGCCCTTGCTGTTCTTGGCGCGCTTGGGTCGCGCGTACTTGACCTCGGAGGGGCACAGGTAGCCGCCGTCCTGAGCAAAGTCGCGATGCGAGTGGGATTCGATCCCGCGCCGCTCCGTCTGCGTCCGGCTGGAAGGGAGAGAACGCTATCAGTCCGGTCAAGGGCTCGATAGAGAGAACGCAGATGACTTGCGCGTGTAAAGAGTCCTCACGGAACGCGTGATCACCACTCAAGACGGTCGGTGGGTTCCTGCCGAAACCCCTCTTTGTTCTCTCACCTTTCACCTCTTGCCTTTCACCTCTCACCTCTCATTTATCACCTCTCGCTGCAGAAGAAGTGTGTATAGCCGCACTGCTCCTCGCGGCGTTTTCCCCTCTCACTGCCGAAGAAGTGCCTGTAGCTCTGGATCCCCCCGCGGCGTTCTCACCTCTCACTGCCAAAGTAGTGTGTGTAGCTGTGGATCTCCCCGCGGCGTTCTCACCTCTCACTGCCAAAGTAGTGTGTGTAGCTGTGGATTTCCCCGCGGCGTTCTCACCTCCCACTGCCAATGAAGTGTGTGTAGCTGTGGATCTCCCCGCGGCGTTCTCACCTCTCACTGCCAAAGTAGTGTGTGTAGCTGTGGATTTCCCCGCGGCGTTCTCACCTCTCACTGCCAAAGTAGTGTGTGTAGCTGTGGATTTCCCCGCGGCGTTCTCACCTCTCACTGCCAAAGTAGTGTGTGTGGCTGTGGATTTCCCCGCGGCGCTCTCACCTCTCACTGCCAAAGTAGTGTGTGTAGTCGTAGAGCTCCTCCTGCTGGCTACTGACGCCCTCCACCAGCACGTCGGCGCTCTGTTCGCGTACCTCGGCGAACATGGCGTTCACCAGCGGCCGCTCCACGTTCAGAGAGGCGCGGATCGCGTCCCTGCGGGCACCGACAGGTGGCGCTGCAGTCAACAGGCGGCGCCACCGTCGGCAGGGACGTGCGGTGGGGTCGGCGGCGAGTGGAATCGAGTGACCGATCAGAGTTACCAGAGGTGAGAAGAGGGGTGGACAGATTGTTTCTTGGACCGTGCGGCGTTCGTAAGCTCAGCAACGACAGCCGTCCGCCTTAAGTTCCATTGATATCCAGATCCGAGGTGGCTGAAGATCACGACACAAGTTACACATCCAAGTTGACGTACGAGGCACATTTGAGAACATCGTTTGATCCATGGGTGGTCTAGAGCATTACGCCAAGAAAACAAATGGTCTCCAAATTGACGAACATTTCAAAGCGCCGGCAGCGCCAGGATGTTTCATCCCTGTTTAGCAGTCTCCAGCCGACTGCGGGAGCCGCTGTGACATCTCTGAGAGTTGTACCACCCAGCATGGTGCCCCTCAATCCCCCACCTCCTGATAGTCGTACCACCCAACATGGTGTCCCTCGCCGCCCTGGGAATCGTACCACCCGGCGTAGTGCCCGACACCCTCTTTCCCACTTATTCCACCAGCCAAGTGAAATCACGACCCTTCACATCGATCAATAACCTCTCAAGATTTACTCGCTGACCAACCTTGCAAGGCCGCCCAAGCTGCTTGCGTCAGTCACCGCTACACCGCCAGCGTGAACTCCACGCCGCGCCCGGGATTTGAACCCGAGCCCTCAGACTGGCACTCCTCGCGCCAGACCACTGACCGCGGGTAGATGCTGGAGTCGAGGCAGATGTCATCGGCGTAGAAGTCACACTCGCGCCGCACCACCACGCCCAGGTCGTTGTTGACCGGTCGGAACGGCGTGAAGCTGGAGCCGCCGAAGTCGATGTCCTGCGAGCAGGCAACGGCCAGTGGTTGACATAGCTGCCTAAACTTGTGAGAGACCGTTGGGCGAGATGACGCACTCCAACTGGCTGCGGCAGGAGGTACCGTGGCTGTCTTGCTGCCACCTACTCGCCAGGTGCCTTGCCGAGGTGGGAATGATTCAAAACAGTTGTGTCGAAAGAAAATGGAAGACCACTTATTTTCAGGCATTTTTCTACTCCACAAACGCGATTGACCTTATGACAAATGACCGCGAATGTGAACAATGTGAACGAACAAACGACTGGTGCGAATGACCTGATGATGACAAAGGTAATGACCAGACATTTTCCTTGGTACACAGCATGCGGACTCTAACACAAAATTGTCTGGGCTATGGCAGTCACGCATGGCGTACGCTTGATGTTGGACTGCAAAGAGATGCTGGAACCCGACGCCTATGCCGCTTGAGATGCCTTCACCTGCGCGCCCAGACATTCCTCCTTCATTTGAACATATTGGGGACGTATTACACGCTGAGTGTGACACGACCTCGGCTCCGACCCCAGTGAACTGCGTCAGGCTTAGTTGCCATTAGCGTCCCCCGTCACCCGCAGCAACACAGCTCCGCCTCCCCACTCGTGACCTACGCTAGATCTGAGCTCCACCAGCACGGCACTTCCCTCCCATGTGTCACCACCTCCCCTGCCCCTCCCACGGGTGACCCACGCTGGGCTGGAAGCGCGAGCCGTCGGGCGGGCCGAAGTCGATGGGGCGCCGCAGGCCGGGCGCCGGGCCGGGGCCGGGCGCCGGGCGGCTCGGCGGCTCGGCAGCGAACGGCGGCCGGCCGAACGGCGGCGGCCGGCGCGGCGTCTCGTCCGGCCGCCGTCGCTCGCTCTCCTGCTGGCGCTCCTCGCCGTGCGGGTGACGGTGGCCTCCGTGGTCGCCTGCCGATAGACACGGTTCAGTGGGGCGAAAGCCGGGGGCAGCCACATGGAGGTGCACGGACACAGATCGAGATCTTTGATCGAGATCCCTGATTGAGGATGTTGTTGAAGGTTCATCTCGAACCTTTTTCATTGGATTGATTTCCGGGATCAGCGCCCATGCTAAGCAGCGATTGTTGCGTGAGCCCTGGTCCCACTACCCGATCGTAAATTTCCTGGTCAACGCAGATCATTACGGGTCGAAAGCCTAACATGTCACAATAATGAGCACTGTCATTCCTGCCCTTTAAGGCCATCCGATCTTTCGCATGGGCGCTGCCACCAGCCGCAGACCATGCTAGTCAGGAACAACGAGTGAACGCCAAAAGCTACTAGAACTCACCCCGCCACGGGTGGGTTAACCCGGTGGCAGGCTTTTTAACCAGCTGAGCTATCCGGAATGGTCATACTAGAGCAGATTTGTTTGTTTTTCATTTATTTCTTGCCTATCCAGGGCATTGCCATCGCACTCTGACACTCTTTGCTGGGTTTTTGACAGCATTATACAGTCAAATGCTGGATGTACGTGAATATATCTACCAGAAGGCAATGTAAGCCGACCTTCCACCTGATTGGCAGTCGGCACTGACCTGGCGGATGTCGGTGGCTAACCGGCGGCCGACGACCTTCGGGTGGGCGACGTGGCTGGTCGTGATTGGGTGGTGGTCGGCGCCGCTGGTCTTGATTGGGTGGCGAGCGCCTGGGCGGCGGCTCCTGATTGGCGTTGGGACCGCGTCGCCGGCTGCCATGGCGACCGGGTCGCTTGTTGGCCGGTGCACCGACAGGGAAAGGAGGCGGGAAGACAGATGACTTGATGTCGGTGGCGTGGCTCGGTGGGGGCGGCAGCTGGATGACACCTTCGCCCGGTACGTTGAACAGGAACGGAGCAGGCGCTGGCTTAGAAGCTGCGGTTGATACCAGATTGACCGTCAGAGCATAACAATCACCGTCAAATATGTATATATATATATGTATATATATATATATATATATATATATATATATATATATATATATATATATATATATATATACGTGCCTACATACGTGGATATACATACATGCATATTACACACACATATATATATATATATATATATATATATATATATATATATATATATATATATATATATGTGTGTATATAGTTCATTTGTCCGCTCTCCTGATCTAAACGGACTCTTATGCTCATCAAGCCAACATGCACAGCAGGTAAGCGTAACAACTGCGAGCATGGTCAATTCATACATTATTTACAGGATACATAATGGCATTTCCTGCACCGCGGGAGATAATAAGACGTCGTTTTCACTTGATCAATCATTCACTATCTACTAGTCAACATTGAGGCACCAGTTACTCTTTCGGAGGTGCGTTGTACTTGGTGCAAATCATTGCACCCCGGCTCAGGGTGACCATTCGCTTCCGGCCTCGGCGGGCGCGGCGTACAGGGATTACGAGCCCCGCTGCTCGGCAATGGTATTCATAATGGCGACGGACATGACCTTTCAAATCAACGGACATGTACCATGAACATGAACATGTAACGTGAAAATGTGACGAAGGCCTGCTCCTAAAAGTCGCACTGGCAGCTGGGAGATCTGCTCTCTGTTGTGTCACTTATATTGGCGTCGTAATCGTCTCAAATTTGGGGAACACTTAACGCAATTGAAAACAAAATTAGTGTCGAATAATGCAGGGAAATCTTGAATGGCAATGAACGTGTCCAAAGTTCAACAGCATTTTCGTCTGGTAAAAATACCACGCTTCTCTTCCAAGCTATAAAACGCTTAAAGCAAACCAGTGTCAGAAGCGTGTTGCTGCGTTCTTATCTGCAGAAAAATGATTTATTGTTCTCTTCTCAACAGCGAACCCGAATGGTGAGTCGTAACCAATCGGCCACCGTCCGTCAATTCTCGTATCACACCGCAGACCGAAGAGGGAATAGGAGCTGCGCTAACGAATCCAAGAGGGAGGGGGGGGGGGAGAGGGAACAATGAGTAATGGGCATTCTCAACAAGATGGTGACAGAGCAGACATTTCCCTAAGCCGGATTTTAAGAAAATGGATGCTGCCTTTTTGCCATGGGTCTCGCCATGATGAGGTACTGAAGCTGCACATGACCGACCCACATGCTTTGTGGGAACTGCAGGTGAGCCCCCGCCCGAAAAAAAACGTTGTCCAGGTCAGAGATTTACGAGGTGGACATACGAAAATATGAATAGTTCATAAACAGGCGGTACTAAACTCAGTTTTCCCCGGGGTTTTTCTTAAACTTTATTTCGGTTGCGTGACATGTTCGCTGAGTATATCGTTTTGTGGTTACAACATGGCATACAATATGGCATTCAAGAACTGACTGGTTTATTGCCCATCACGGGTGAGGGTGAATCCCCAACACCACGGTCAGGCCCCGAACACCACGGCCAGGCCTATTCATGCAAAGCACAGCAGTCTGCTCGCCCTCGTTGCACCAATCCACGTCAGACTGCCCACAAGCTCTCCCGCAGCCTGACGCCGCCGCTACGCACCCAGCGCGGACTGGACGTCCAGACGATGCTCCGGCGGCGTGCGACCGAAGCCGGGCGGCGGCAGCTGAAACATAGGTCAGCTGTCAGCGCTCAGCGGCACGTGCTGCAGCGCGTCACGTTTGCCGCGTGCGTTTAGAATCGCGGAGAGGTCGTGGTCCACTGTTGGCTGCCTCATACCCTCTTGTGTGCTAGGTGGTTTGGATCATTACCCTCCTGTGTGTTAGGTTGTTTGGACCAAACGCCGGCTTCGCTAATCAATTCTAGTCAAGGTGAAATGAAAAGCATAGGTCAGTATAGTAACAACATAATTAGAGGCTGAAGACTCACAAAACGGAAGCTTATAGGTGGCATTAGCAACGCAATATTTGCGAAGGAGGAGATAATTAACATGAGGAGAACGGAAATCAACCAGTGGATAGACACGCCTACAGTCAACGAAATAGGCCAGCTGTTGCCATCGGCTTCAAGACATTACAAAAAATGAAACTAGCGAATGGTGTCACTGTTCCGACCCCTGCAGTGTGGACGCGCACTCATCCTGGGTGGCTCATTTTCCCTTTCTGTAATCGCACACATGATTATTTTTGATGCATGTGGTTGCTAAGGTACCTTGCATTGTCATCTTCCACATCGAGTTCATTGGAGAAAAGTGCTGGCGGTCCCAGGACTCGAACCCACTTCCCTTCGACCCCGGGTGATCGGTGCCGCGGCCTCACTGATGACCGATGACCGATGCTCACCTGGTGACCGATGACCTGGTCCTGCTGGCGGGGGCGGCCCCTGCGGGCCCCCGGCGGCGGCGGCCGGTCGGCGCGCTGATTGGGCCGCGGGTGTGACGGCGGGCGGGGCGGCGGGGGGCCGCGCACCCCCTGAGGCGGCGGGCCCCGCGGTGGCGACCGGCTCTGGGGACGAGCACGCGATGTTGCAGATGTGTTGAGCTACTCTGGGCACTGCATCAGTGATGTCACATTGCTGCTGGACATCGCGCGCCACTGAAGACATGGCTTGACATTGGTGACGGTGACAAGACATTTAAACAATTAATATACTCTAATCTGTTGTGCTATTTCTCTCTGCACTGCAGACAACTTTCGGGCCTGTTCGCCCTCGTTTTTATTTCAAATTGGCATAGGCAGCCGTTCTCAAACCGTTCCCATGCAACAACACCAGCAGACGATGCAAAGAAGCTTGCGGGAGAGAACCAGAAACACATACAAATGATGCTGCTGGTGTTACCGTGTCACTGCCCATCATGCATACCACCGAAATAGGTTCACATTTTACACTCGCTGTCTCGCGGTAACCTGTATTTAGGGTTGATCTAGTCCCAGCCCCGCCTCCAACCCTCCTCCACCTGCCTGTCCGGTCTTGGCTTGGCTGCATCTTTCTCGGCCTTCACCCGCACGACCGTGCCGTCTGTCAGTCGACCAAGCTGCACGGCCAGTCAGCCCTCGTGGCTCCCCCTCCCCATGCCGTCTGTCAGCCGGCCAGCCTGCACGGTCAATCAGCCCTCCCCCTGGGAGGGCTGATTGACCGCGCAGAGGGAGGGGGGGGGGGGGCCCTCCCTCTGCCGTCTGTCGGCCGGCCAGCCTGCTCGGTTAGTCAGCCCCCGCCTCCCCCGCCGTCTGTCGCCGGCCAGCCTGCTCTGTCAGTCAGCTCCCGCCCCCCCCCCCCTGCCGTCTGTCAGCCAGCCAGCCTGCTCGGCCGGTCAGTCCCCGCCTACCCTGCCGGCTGTCGGCCGGTCAGCCTGCTCGGCCAGTCAGCCCCCGCCTCCTCTGCCGTCTGTCGCCGGCCAGCCTGCTCGGCCGGTCAGCCCCCACCTCCTCTGCCGTCTGTCGCCGGCCAGCCTGCTCGGTCAGTCAGCCCCCGCCTCCCTCTGCCTTCTGACGGCCGGCCAGCCTGCTCGGTCAGTCAGCCCCCGCCTCCCTCTGCCTTCTGACGGCCGGCCAGCCTGCTCGGCCAATCAGCCCCCGCCTCCCCTGCCGTCTGTCGGCTGGCCAGCCTGCTCGGTCAGTCAGCCCCCGTGGCTCCCCCTCCCCTGCCGGCTGTCGGCTGGCCAGCCTGCACGTTCGGTCAGCCCCCGTGGCTCGCCCGCGTCCAGTCTCTCTGCCGTTATCCCGTGACCGCCGCGTCTCGTCGCGACCGTTTCCGAGCCGTGACAGTGTCATCAGCCACGGTTGGCCGGCGCCGCTCGCTGGCGGTCCCGACGCGGATCTGGCACACTGTGTCATCCCGTCTCGCACCTCACTGGGCTCACAGGATCCCCCCCCCCCTCCCCCCGCCCTGCCCACCTCCCGACCCCTTTCCAATCGAATAGCTGCGAATACGAAGATGGAAGAAACTATCGCATATGCTGGCATACGAAAGTAGTGGGAAGAAAGAGGATTTCTGAACTTTTTGCCATCCGGGTCAGATGAAGCGTGCATGCTTCACGCTGTATCCGTGTCGACAGATCAGTTGCCGTTGCGGTCAATGACAGTGATTGCGGCTCAGTCTCTGAATATTGCTGCCTCAGACATTCAGAGCGTCGTATGAAATAGCGATTCGTGTTCATAAAAAATACTTATCGTAGTGACGGTGCTGATAATGAAACTGATGCTAGATGGGTTCCTTATGGATACTCAGACCATTCAACCCGCTCTTTATCATAATTGAACAAAAGGACGCGTATCTGGCTTGGCACATGCATCCGCATACCGAACCGCGAAAACAGTACATCGATGCGTAGGTAAACAACTATTTCGCACCACAGCAAGATCGTACTTTCAGGAATAAGATCCCCTAATCTTACCAAGCATTGACGGGTATAACAGAGACCAAAAGTTTTTCCTTAATCGGGGCAGTTCAGTATTACCTATGGCCATGAGGTGGCCAAGCAATGCGAGGCCAATGGCCAACCGCTACCATGAGGGGTTCCCGGACTTTTGTGTAAGTTCATCGGTAAAGACAGCTCGGCGGAGCATGGCATGCTTTGGCGCTCATGCCTTCTGTTTAGGCCTCGTTTCGTCCACTCCGGCTAGAAAAGCAATGTCATGTGACCTGCTTACATAGTCACCGTCTCCAGGCGCGCGAATCGAAAGCCCAAACGCTACTCGTAAGTGTTTTTACGACTACTCATTGCCGCTGACCGAGATGGGGCAGTGCGACGGCACCAGGGGAGTGGGCCGGACCGGGCCGGAGCACCGCGACGGCAGCAGGGGTCGGGGCGGGACCGGGCCGGAGCACCGCGATAGCACCAAGGGACCGAACCGGGACCGGGCCGGAGCACTGCGACGGCATCAGGGGTCGGGGCGGGACCGGGCCGGAGCACCGCGACGGCATCAGGGGAGGGGGCCGGACCGGGCCGGAGCACCGCGACGGCATCAGGGGACGGGACGGGACCGGGCCGGAGCACCGCGACGGCACCAGGGGAGGGGGCCGGACCAGGCCGGAGCACCGCGACGTCATCAGGCGTCGGGGCGGGACCGGGCCGGAGCACCGCGACGGCACCAGGGGAGGGGGCCGGACCGGGCCGGAGCACCGCGACGGCATCGGGGGTCGGGGCGGGACCAGGCCGGAGCACCGCGACGGCAGCAGGGGTCGGGACGGGACCGGGCCGGAGCACCGCGACGGCATCAGGAGGCGGGGCCGGACCGTAACCGTGTCGTACTCGCCTCCCGACACAGATCCCGATCTCACGGCTGAGTACGCGCCGTGACACAGAAAAGGCGCGCGCGGCGCACGAGGACGCCGTGAACGTCACCGCTGTCACGCTTAACGTGGGCCGGACGCCACTCACGCGACGAACGGTGTTAACGGTTTGAGTCCTTCTTGACAGACCGGCCCCGTCAGAGCGGCCCTTCCCCACTGCTCGTGCGCCGACGGGGCGTTTAAATGGGCCAGGCCCATTGTTCACGGAAAACTATGACGCACTTGCGCACAAAAACTTTGAGATCAGGAAGAGAAAGTGCGCAGATGGCTCAAGAACGAGTAAGTACATGCCATGTTTTTTTCGGTGCGAGAGTTACGGGCCTATTACGTCCGGGCTGATTAGCCCACTTACATTGCACCATATCTACTTTCTCGGTGTATAATGGCGCAATTGATCTGGCAGCTGCTTCTGTGCATCAGCTGATCAGATATTTTCATGTTGCATTTGCAACAGCCGGACTGCACCTGCCTCGGCACAGGCGCCCAGTGCAGCGAGGAACAACCTCTGCTGCCGCCATCACGGGCAGGGGGAGAGGGGCGAAAGCAGGCTGATTTTATCGCGTTTATATCTGTCTTGGAGGGAGAGGGGTGCATGGAGTGAGGTAATCTACTTTCCCCATGCGCTCACGGGTAACAGACTGCACATTCACTGCACTGCACTGCACTGCATAGTCAGACTGCACATGATATTACTGCGAGCAGGTGTACGGCGAAGACATTCAAAGTGACTTTCAAAATGGCAATCGTTCTGAACCTGAGCTAGTGGACAGAAAGCAGGTCGCATAGAAAGGTGTTGCCTACAGATGCTAGGCTATGCCGTACCTCATTTAAAAACATTTCAACTTTTAGTGGCCTATGAAAGGGAAGTGTGACCTAATCTTACAATCGTGAGCACAGAAACGTGCTATTACTAAACAGCTTTCCAGACCACGTTTCCAAATATTTTAACAACGAAACATGGGTGCGACCTGTTTAATCTGACAGTACTTGATGTGACATTTTGCTTGGCATTTTTGGCAGGACATTTTATTCGGCCTAAAGAAGCACTCTGACTGGGTTAACCAACGTGACCACTCAGGCCCGCCCATCGCCAGGAGTGGCGCACCTCTCAGCTGGACCAGTGGGCTCGACCCTCAGGCGTACGGCCAATGAGAGCGGGCCTTCTTGTGGCGACAGCCAAAGGTTGTACCCAAACTAAATCCATAAACAGCACTGCGTTCTGCAAGAAAATGGAAATTTGCAGTCCAATCTTGACCGATTTTTAAAAAGCGAAAAGGTGTGTTGTGGTTTGAATGTTTTGTAGAGCATGCCATCAAGGCGAAGCGTCAACGATTATTCCACAAAAAGGCGGCTGAATCAGGTTGAACGCCCCTGAAATGTAACACGGTCCTCATATCACTGCTCATAAATGCACTGATCCCGTATCCCTCATAAATGGACATCGAGGAGCAAATGACATCGCCGACGAGACGAAACGAAAAAATAACACTGAAAATGGAGCAAAAAAGTTGTCGGGCTAAACCCATGGTCGCGGCGAAGGAGTAGATAGTGAGTTGTAAGCGTAAGTGAGTGGGTCCGACGTTCATAATGGTTCTTGACTGGTGTACTAGCGAGCCAACATTATTAAAACTCTTTGGCATGGGTGGCCAGGGTGCAGGGCTCCATTATCTTGGAAGTTGACATGCTCCACATGATAGCAAGTTGTAGCCCTTACGTCCATCAAAGCCTCGCTGCTGCCATACCCCGCCACCGATCCTTCCCGAAGTAATAATGTTCTGTATTAACTTTCTCAAGTGCCACGATCCGTGCGATATGATAATATGATCGAGTAGTTGAGCGGATAAATGGATTACAAGCAAACAGGTTGATGCAGTGGCCTATACTACTATTTCAGACCCACGCGGCTCTTAATTCCGTGCACTTCCGCGGCTGAAGAACGCCAATCACGTCTCATACGTGTCTTGGGCCTGTGTCCACGTACGGCCACTAATTACTGCTCATCTCTTTTGAATGCAAGTCCAGCCGGAGTTACAAGCCTAAGGCAGGCTACTGGACAACAGTCATCATGAAAATGAGTTCAGGGCATGCGCAGCAAACCCCACGCCAGCATAACGACGCCTACCAGGGCATCTACAGAGGACATCACATCCAGCTTTATCAGCCTGAAAATGAGTTCAGGGCATGCACAGCAAACCTCTTTAGGGAAATCACCCCGGCTCAAAACATTTCGGAAAAGTGAATGTAGCACCGAGCTGGTTCAAGCACGTAACCATGTTATTACAAGATTCCGGGCGCACCAAATCCAGGTGATCACGGGCATGTCATCAAGCATCGGATCGGATGTACCGGATCAACCATCGGTCAAATACAATATATCAATTTCTGTCAAGTATCGGTCAAATACCAGATATAAATATATGTTGAATATCGGTCAGCCCTCCGACATTTGGTGTCTGGATATGCGTACATTGTTCCCACGTGGCTGGGGCGCAAGCGTAAACAAATCATTGTCACCGACATTACAACTTCCACGACTACCTTCACCAGTCCACGTCATACCGACACCCAAACCGCGCTCGACGACGTTCAAGGCCGCGCCCTACCTCGTCAAACCATCACCCCGCGGCAGTTAGCACGCCCGTCCCACCTGACCCCGGGTCGTGACCACATCCTCGGCCGTAGCCGGTCACCAGCGGCGGCCGCGGCCCCGTGGCGTGTCGCCCTCGCCGTCCGGCATGGGGCCGCCCGGCGGTCCAACGACGCCTGGGCGCCGGGGAGGGCCGCCGGCGCGGAACGGATGGTCATGGCGCGAGATCAGCCCCGGGCCGGCTAACGGGTCGGCGGCCGCGGCAGTCGCGCCGCGCTGACCCGGTCAGCAGCCGTGGCCGACCGCGCTGTCCCGCAGTCCTGGTCCACCGCGATGGCTTCGCCAACAGTTGGGTGATACTGTCCTGTCCTATACTCGTGTCTTCGCTCGCAATGCTCTCCCCTCCCGTAGAGATAAAGTTGTCTCCTGTTTTATTGGCCCAGTTAAACCACGCCGTGCTGATAAACACTTCCAGTGATGATCTACCTCACTGATAGCTCACGTTTTGCTTTTTTCATCTGCAATCCTATCCAACATCAACCCAAGCCCACGCCCACAATACCGGGACAACCGCACGTCTCAACATGTCCAACAGCCATGCCGCCTCATCCCAGTGTCGTTCCCAGCACTGATGCAATAACCCGTGCTGCTGCACCATGCCATCTCTCTCACAGCGCCATGACACTGTCGAAACCGCGGTCAACCTTATATTTCCTCCAGAGAAGTGTCACACCACATCCTACTGGGTAAGAAACTCAGCCCTGAACGTTGGTCTGTCGAGGCGAGTCTTCTAGATCAATTTTCAGGTGAGCCGATAACGGGTTTGTCTCGCACATCATCTTTTGTAAACTTGGTAGCGGCTCGGTCCCACAACACGGGACGCAGTTTCCCATTACGGGGTAAACATCTTCATCAGCCCCGGTTCGCCGAAACGAACGAATGAAAGTCATGGCTTCACGACTAACGCGGATGAGATCGATCTCAGATTGCGGTCATTGTTCTCATCGCCCCAATTAGCCCAGAGCAAGTTGCTGAATAATGGCGTTGGAGTCCACTGACCTCAACCAACCCCGCTACACTATGCCTCAGACGTCGGGAGCGTATTATGGAAGTGAATAGTTTGAACCTGGGTTCGTCCACCCCAATCTGTTTGCCCAGACAGAAGAAGCGTGAAACAAGTGGTGTCCAGGTGCTGGTGTCTGAGGATGGTGGCCTGCACACATGCATACAAGGACGTACCTTTTGTCTCGGTATGATCATGTCGAGGATTTCGTTCCGGATTCTCTTCTGTTCTTCCTCCTGGCGTCTCCAGTAGTTTCGGACGTGTGATATGAACATCTCAGGCTGGGGCAGCTCTTCCAGCTGCGTATTGTTCAGCCTCTCCAGCTCCTCCAGGATCTCAAAACGCTCCTCTTCGGTAAGCTCACTGCTCTCTGGATCTTCGGAGCCAGCTTCTGGTCGTCCTGCATCACTATCAAAAGCGTCCAGTCCTTTCCCTTCTCTCGGCGAGGCTTTCTCTTCAGATGGAGCGTCGTGGCTGTCCGTTAGCTTCAGTAGAGAAGAGCCAACATCGGCAAGAACACGAGTCACTGCGACCTTGGAGCGATCGCCACTGTCCTCGACCAATGTCACTGAACTGGGCTCGCTCAGAGCCACGGCCGTCGTATCATCGGCGGACGCGTACGCCCATCCGAACACGAATATCACCAGCAGTACCTTCATATTCTGGAAATCAGGACATGTAAGAATTAGGCACTCGTGTAGGTAACAGCACGTCTGCACCTTAACATCAGTACCAAATGTCTCCATCGGAAACATTCTCTGAATCTTGAAATCTTCACTCACGATTAATTTTGGACAGGGTACGACGTGCGGTGCAAGCTTGTCAAATACGTCAATGCCACATGACAGCGCTATATTCAGGCTAATTATGACGGTAAGTTAGCTAATTATGACATAAATATGACAATCATCTAACTATGACAGTCATTGTCTTAACAATACAAGATACGTGGCAATAATTAAGTAGTTGATTATATGGATGTTCGTAGCAAAGTTCGTTTCGATGCGCCCCTGATCGTTTTCAGCTGCCCAAACGACAACGCAACGGACACAATCTGGATGTCTAAACAGCACCAATTATTAGGTCATCCCAGCATCTTGCAGCAGGGATCGGCAACACGGTGATTACTTAATCTTCAAACATGTTTGTCATCAAACCAGCAGAACACGAAATTGAACACGGCATATACCACAGCAGTAACTAGCTGAGCGGTAAGGCCAAGTCAACATAGCTCCACGCCATATCACCACAGCGCGCGGAGACGTTTCACCGGCTCAGCTGCCGGATTTGTCGCCGCCCGTTCACTCCCCGGCATTGTCACCGTATTTGGGCAACTCACTGCCACCTGGCGTGACAATCATTACTGGGGTCGACCAGCAGGTTCGACATTTCAGGTCATCCATTGCCCGCGGCTCTCGCGCTGGTAGCCGTAAGAGACGGCAAAACTCTACCGCGAGCCAGGCTCGAACCCAGGACTCGCCGCATGCGGCCGTGAGGTCGCGAAGCTCCGCCCGCGCAGTGTGCTATGTCATCCCTCCCCTGGCTATGCTTGCTGCACTTGCCCGCACAGCTCATCGCCGTCTGGCGTTGTCTGCCGTGTCTGAGCCCTCTCTGCCCGACGATACTCGCAGCGACTAAACCACTCACCGCTGTCTGGCGTTGTCTGCCGTGTCTGAGCCATCTCTGCCTGACGATACTCGCAGCGACTAAACCACTCACCGCTGTCTGGCGTCGTCTGCCGTGTCTGAGCCATCTCTGCCTGACGATACTCGCAGCGACTAAACCACTCACCGCTGTCTGGCGTTGTCTGCCGTGTCTGAGCCATCTCTGCCTGACGATACTCGCAGCGACTAAACCACTTACCGCTGTCTGGCGTTGTCTGCCGTGTCTGAGCCATCTCTGCCTGACGATACTCGCAGCGACTAAACCACTCACCGCTGTCTGGCGTTGTCTGCCGTGTCTGAGCCATCTCTGTCTGACGATGTTCGCCGCGGCTAAACCATTCACCGCTGTCTGGCGTTGCGTTGCATGATGTCCCTGAGCCGGCAGTCTCTGTCTGGCGGCACTGTCTGCTGTCCGTGAGGTACTCACCGCTGTCTGGCGGCACTGTCTGCTGTTCGTGCGGTACTCGCCGCTGTCTGGCGGCACTGCCTGCTGTCCCTGAGGCACTCACCGCTGTCTGGCGGCACTGTGTGCTGTGCGTGAGGCACTCACTGTTGTCTGGTGGCACTGTCTGCTGTGCGTGAGGCACTCACCGCTGTCTGGCGGAACTGTCTGCTGTCCCTGAGGCACTCACCGCTGTCTGGCGGCACTGTCTGCTGTCCGCGAGCCACTTGCCGCTGACTGGCGGCAGTTTGCTGTCCCTCAGGCACTCACCGCTGTCTGGCGGTACTGTCTGCTGTCCGCGAGCCACTTACCGCTGTCTGGCGGCAGTCTGCTGTCCCTGAGGCACTCACCGCTGTCTGGCGGCACTGTCTGCTGTGCGTGAGGCACTCGCCGCTGTTTGGTGGCACTGTCCGCTGTACGTGAGGCACTCACCGCTGTCTGGTGGCACTGTCTGCTGTCCGCGAGCCACTCGCCGCTGTCTGACGCCGTCTGCGGTGTCTGCGTATCCGTCTGTCGGGCGGGCGGTGCGGCGCGCTCCACGGAGCTGCTGTCTCTGCCACTCGCCGCAGCTACATGCCGGGTCGCCCCTGAGAAGCGGCACCACCCCGTCAGGCACCAGCGAGCGTCATCGGACGGCTCCCGGACGATTGGCGCCAATTCGGGTCAGTCGGCCCCGGGCCCGACGGTCGCTGGGAGGAAGAGGTGGGCCCAAGACGGCGTGGGAGACGGTAGTTACTGAGGAGACGAGGGAGGATTGAGACGTGGGGCTGGAAGCTCGACAAAGAGCTTCGCTGATGCTGTGAGGTTTAGCGATCCGTCGATAATTGGGGTTTGAGGCGCTTATATAAATGGGTTAGTGTGGCCTGAAAACCAGAGCAATGGAAAAGAGCCGAAAGGGTAGAAAAAAGAGTAAAGGGCAACGAAAGCATATGCTAGTAAGGGAGAGCGTGACCCCAAAGGAGAAAACGCCTCACAAATGTTCAAAAGACCACGGTCGAGCGTGGTGGTGGGGCGGAATTGGCTAGCTCCCCGCCTGTGATCACGAGCTAGGCACACGAGGAGGCTGCACGGCCACCCCGTTATCTTCCAATCCACCTACCACATGTGAGCACGAGCTAGGCACACGAGGAGGCTGCACGGCCACCTCGTTATCTTCCAATCCACCTACCCCATGTGAGCACGAGCTAGGCACACAAGGAGGCTGCACGGCCGCCCCGTTATCTTCCAATCCACTTACCACAGGCGCACATGGCTGGCTTTGCTCAGGCGCTTGCGGTTTGTGCACACAGCACAATGGTAATCTCTGTGAGAGCCTGCTTCCCCGTGGTTAAAACAATTAGTCTGTGTTCTGTTGGTGCTACCATGAAGCGTCACGCTCAGCCACTGAGACGTCGCCGTCGACACCCTGTTTGCGTCGCGCAAAAACTAACCTCGTAAACGGAAAAGAATGGCCGGGACGAAAGCGTAGAAAGCAGTCCATCACGGTCAACAAGCGGGGTACGCCACTGAGCCTGAAGAGCCACGAAACGGAGGACTGGCGGCTTTTTTCCTTCCACGAACGGCCGAGCTTGTAATCAGTCATCTGTCTCACACATCGGTGGCTGTGGGTTCCGCCAGAACAGATGTGGGCTACTGGGAGCTTCTCCGAGACCCCGATGATCGCGCAGCCAAGCATGGGGCCGCTGGAGCGACACGCGGCCCCAGACAAAACATGGCCTATTTATTTTTTTCAACAACCGGTTCACGGGCTGAATGCTCAGAGCTGTCCGCTGCTTTCGTCCTCCCCACTAAGCTTATTCGCACACCTGGGGTCAGGCCTAGCAGCTTGAAGCTCTCTACACCTCAGGGTCTCGGCGTCGGTGAGAATGCATACGTTCACTGAATGGGCATGGCAAAACGCGGGCTTTGCCTCAAGATGTGCGCAGCAGTATTGTCAGGACAGACCAGCCATGGGCTTTATACTGATCTCAGTGGCGGTGTTACATCGGTGGAGGATGGGACGGGATAAGAGCAGTGTTCCCTCTATCGGCTGGGCTGCGCAGGTGCGAACCCTTGGCCCATGGCTGGGGTCAAGGGGTTCCGGGGTCAAGGGGTCAAGGTGTCCCGTGTGTCGATCCGGTACGTCACTACAGATCTCTCGCTCCACGCAAGGTGGTCTTACCTGATTAAGTCAGAGAGTGGATCGAGTAGGCACTTCCGCTGATGGATATCAAAGAAACTGTAACAGTGGAGCAGCTGCAGGGCGAAAACAAGCGATTCGAGGAGGTTTTCATTCGCGTTGTCGCTCTCGGGCAGAAGATGGCTGCTAAGCCTTGGGTTTGGGCCACTTGCGGTTGTTCTCAATGAGGCGTTTAGTCATGGAGACGGCGGTAGATATGATGGATTGTCCTGACATCTGGCAATCTATTGAAAGAGAAAATGAGGCAGAGAAAGAAATCTGGTGCACGGATCACAAACCATTGGGCGAAGCATGAGGACCCATTTCGGTTTCATGCTATTCGGAATTATCCGAAAGTCTGAACTGGAGAGTGGCGGCACCATACCCGGAGTCAAACGGACAAATGGACGTACATTGCAAGCTGAGAGCTAAATCAATCCCTCAGTGATTTGATGAAGCACGCACCAATTCGACATTTGCAAGCATGGCTGTTAGCGGCACGCCACCATACGCATCTGTACATCTTCTTCATGACGATCGCTTTTGCGTTGCCCTCACGGGCTGTGGCGTGCGGCGCGGACACCGGCAATTTTGCGCTTCACGCAACTCTTGCACCGGAACTGCAACGCTCTGAAGCCAGTACAGCTAATTCCCAACCATGAGTGGGCGTTTACGCAAGGAGAAACGGGTGCCCAAATGGGTTATCGGGTCGGGAGCGTGCGTTATTGGGTTGGGAGCGGTGCGTTGTGCAGCGACGACGCGACAGGGGTGACTGCGCCGATGCATGTCACTGAATAGCGCGCAGGACCGCAGCCCAAACCAGCCCGCGTGTTTGAATTAAGCCGGCGGCTCGTATCTGGACATGTGACGTGGAGGAACGGCACGTCCCCGTGGCACGTGGCATATGGACTCGTGCAGCGGAGCCCCGACCCGCCGTCCGCGACCGCCGGCGGTTCGAGCCTGATCTCACGGCCGGGTATGACAGCCGGACACGTCACATGGGGGGACGGCACGGCTCCGTGGCGCGTGGAATCGGCTCGTAGGACCCGCTTGTGGAATCGCCTCGTGGGATGACGCAGCCTGCAGCCGGAGTGCGGCGGGGGTAGCATCAATCTGGAGGGCATCGCCGCTCGTCGCGCAACTTGCCGTCTGGTGTGCACCGGTACAGCCGGCATCGATCACAGACCAGCGACTAGGACTGCTCAGATGGCTGTGCTCGGCTGGGCATGGTCACTCGACGCTCGCGCCTCGACTCATAACCTGTCTGGGACGGCTCAGTCCTGTCGGTGGGCCAGCTGTTCCTGTCCGTGGGATGATCCAGTCCTGTGTGTGGGATGGTCCAGTCACATGTGCGGATCAGTCCAGTCCTGTGCGTGGACCAGTCCAGTCCTGTGTGTGGATCTGTCCATTCACGTGTGGACCGGCGCAGTCCTGTGTGTGGGATGGTCCAGTCATGTGTGTGGATCAGTCCAGTCCCCTGCGTGGATCAGTCCAGTCAGTTGTGTGGATCGACGTAGCCCTGCCTGCAGAAGGCTCTAGTCCTGTCCGTGGTATGACCCAGTGCTAGTGACAGATGGTGAACGGGTGGGCCGCCCGTTCTGCTGTCCACGCAAGCGCAGTCAGTCCCCGAGAATCTGGGCTAATGGCGGTCGGGACTCCGAAACAGACCAGGAAGCGACGCATCACGGCGGACGGTGCGCCATGACTGGCACGCGCGGCGGTACGCTGCTTGCTGTTGTGACTCAATGGTAACGTAAAGGCTGATGTACTCCTGCTGTATCATCGGGGGATGCTTTAGATGGGCTGCCTCATGGCCCCACGGCAACAATGAATATGGGATTGAGATGGAGAGAATACGAAATTAGGAGAGCTTTATGATTAAATCACGTTTTAATTGATGATGGCCTGGATAGCTGTCTTCTTGGCAGTTTGCTCTCAGGCTGCGTCTGAGATTTGTAGAATGACGGGACAAGGATCGTGAACACGGTCCATCCTGCTGTGCTGCGCTTAAGCACGGAATCGTACGCTGTCGCCAATGGAAGCGTCCCTTCGCGCTTGTCAAGAAGCGTGCAGCGCCTGGGAACCACACAAGATAAGAAGCCTGCGGCCGGTTTTGGGGATAAAACACAAATGGAAGAAGGGTAGAATGGCGGAGGTGCTTAATACGTGCGGACGTAGCACACCTGACTGACAAAAGGAACGTACCAATTTTATGCATTACGGAAAGTCGACGCAAAGTTGGAGCCACTTAACGATCACTGATACAGCACAGATGTGGTGGACAAATAGAATAGCATTATCATTGCCATGACGAAAACAAATTCCAAGATTTTGAGATGCATGTATGGTTCATGCCAGCTCGCAGTGGTTCAAACAAGCGCCGTCTCCTTTTGTCTAAGTAGGGTCGTTAGAATGATTGTTGATGTTTTTGACACCTCCATAACTCTCCGCAATATATAACAGTTGATAAATGGCGTAATGTCCTGTTACCGTAATTAGGATCTCGATTAACTGGTATTGCGCCCACAGGGTGGTGGTGTCCACTGATTAGGCTTAACGGTATCTTGGCATATATTTCTTAAATGCCATGTCGTTTATCCTGGCTGTTTTTTTAACTTGGATAAATGTTTCCGGTGGTGATTGACAAATGATGAATGCACTTATAAATTGCTACAGCATGGCTTTCAGCAAATCCTAGGAAACGCTGTGCTAGTTTCATTAGCCATTTATGAGCAGCAAACAACGATCAGCCGTTCAGCTGCTGAATGGATAGACATCAACTTAGCATTAAATGTTTGTCCTGCTGGTGCTGGTCTCGCCCTCGTTGCCATCCACTTCCACGTCAACTGCTGATTGCGGCGCAAAAACGAACCAGCATGTTATCCAGAAACCACGCATTTGGAATCGACAAGTGGATCCGCCTGTTCTGTGGCATTCAGCAAGGTCACATTCGGGAACGCCCGGGGGCCGGGTCGACGAGAACAACAGTCGTCGCTGCAGGGCTGCTGTTTCCGCCGTCCTCAGGCTATCGTCAGCATTCAGCCGTTTTGGACTCACTGTTGAGCCTGTTGTCGTGGCCGCAAGTTTGGCCACTTAACCGTGTCTCTCTAGACATTCCGTCGTGCCTGTCTCTTAAATACTTTCGACGTGTCTGCTCGTTCGCTCTGGGGTATCTACTTAGTGGTGGTGATCAGCGGCGGCAGAAACTCGTTACGGTGCGGGAGGGGGCAAGGTCGATTTTCCCATACAACCCTACAGAGTTACTGCTACACAGTTTGGGATGTTCGGGGCCCAGTCTGTCACGCGGGCTCTGACACTTTTATCGGGTGACTCCGTCGCGCCCATTGAATGCTTCTGTGGGGCCTGTTCAGCAGCCTGTTTGGGATGTTCGGGGCCTAGTCCGTCACCCCGGGCTCTTTCATCGGGTGACTCCGTCGCGCCCGTTCAATGTTTCTGTGGAGCCTGTTCAGCAGTCACAGTGTTTGCTGGGTCTTGTCTGTCGCGCCCGCCTGCGTCAGGTATGTCGGTTCCATCCCTCACTTTTCTCTTCTCCACCGCTGGCGAGCCCCAGCCGCGCACACGTCACCCCTCTACTTTGAGCGGTTCTGGCCGACTGCGCCGGAGATCAGGGACCGGTGGGCCAACCATGCATGCGGAGCCCGCTGTCCTGCACGCTGCACGCCTCGCGGGCCACGCCGACACCCTCACGCGGACAGCGAGAGCGCTGCACGGCTCGGGGGTAAGCTGCGAGCAGATGGTAACTCTTACAGGCATAGTTTTACGAGTAAGCAGAATGGTCGCTTGATAAAATCGTCAATCCGGGATGCTTTACCTGAGGTTTCATGGGTCAGCCTCTTTACAGCCTTGCTGAGTGTATCATCAACCTATAATAAAATGTAGCTTTGCTAGTGTACATCAAACTCAAAGTCTGGTCTCCAACACCGTGGGGAGGAGTTACGAGGGTAAGGGGCAATAGGTCAGAACGATTTGTCGGAGGCGCAATGAAGAGGAGAGGAGGAACGTGCTCAGAATGCCAGAAACTACGCCACGTCTCATAGCTGGCGCTGGAGTACGTGTCAACATCGACAGCGGAGGCACGGGACCCTGCATGATACTAAATGCCTTTGCATGGGGTCATGGGATGTCTGCACGGCCACAGGTCACAAAGAGAAAAGCATGGGGGCTGTTGTACATGGCCGTCAATCATCACCCCGCTGATACCACGCGTTTTGTTCGATCTCTCCATGCCCGCTTGATGGTACTGACACACTTGACAAAGTGACATATGTTTGATTTTGAACGGTTCGTATAGAGCTCTTAACGTTGTCGTGCTTTGCCGATCGAGCTCCAACTGGAGACTCACAGACATATCCATGCATATCCATGAAAGGATATGACCAGGTCTGAAAAACGCAGAAGGAACAAATCCCATCGTTTACGTGGAAATCAAGTCGGAATAGAAATGAGCCCGCGTCATGTGAAAGATCAGGCATGGGTGCATTGAGCGAGTGTAATCAAAACAGATGTACGTGTCCATGACAGATAGACGCCACAACAATTACAGATAGACGTCGCGTCAATTGCAGATAGACGTCACGTCAATTACAGATAGACGCCGCGTCAGCTGCAGACAGACGTCACGTCAACTACCAACCGCATGAGGTGCCTTTCTTGGGCTGCTCTTCTCAGCGCATCTACAGTGCACGATTCAATACGTTACAGCTTAAGTCAAAAGCCACCACAAGCAAATCCAGGGTCTGATCTCACCAATAAGGGCCGCTGAGAGGAGACAGAAAGTTGTCTGAGCACAGCAAGGGGACCATGGATTGGCTATTGCGGACGTAAGCCAGCTCGAGACAATTAAAGCGCACAGCGAAGCGGCCCTCGCTGAGCTGATTGATCTTAGAAAGATGGTGCAGGGTTAGTCCCTGTGGAGTTGAGTGGTCCTGCGGGATTGTGCGGGGGTGGTCCCCGTGGAGTTGAGTGGTCCTGCGGGATTATGCGGGGGTAGTCCCCGTGGATCTGTGCAATCTCAGCGGGATTGTGCGGGGGTAGTCCCCGTGGAGCTGAGTAGTCTCAGCGGGATTGTGCGGGGGTAGTCCCCGTGGATCTGAGTAGTCTCAGCGGGATTGTGCGGGGGTAGTCCCCGTGGATCTGAGTAATCTCAGCGGGATAGTGCGGGGCTTTGCGGGTTGCTGAAGGACGAGCAAATTCACGGGTTTGTTGCTGCTGCAAGTCGAATCAGACTAGCAGCACCTACAAATACGTGCGAGAAGTTTACTTAGCTTTACGAGAGAAGCACACTTAGCTTTAAGCGGTCGAGAAATGCATAATTATGCCGAGGGAGCGAGCGGCCCGACAAGAGCATAAGTACACGATCTCTTGGCATCCACATGAACGAGGCGTCAAACAGAAAACCTTTTCCGTCCCAACCGATCAGCCCAACTCCGCTGTGGTGGAGCGCACGCGCGGCCGGGTCGCCAGGCGCCGCGCCGTCTCCCGCCGTGGCGCCCCGCGTCCGACGGCGGTCGCGTTAGCGTTACGCGTCATTTGGCGCGCGACGCGACTGCTGCGTTCCGTTACGGCACAGGTGACGAGTCGGCGGCGGACGGCCATCTGCCGCCGAGTCCGCGAATCGGCGCCGACGCCGAACTGGGACACGCTGACCCAGAACCGGCCGGGACCGGGTCCTTCGCGAGACCCGGGCGGGGTTGGTCTGGCCGACCGATCCTCCGCGACCGCCGGTGGGCGGCGGCCTGGCGCCTCGCGGCGGGTGAGAGAGGGTGGCGTAGACTAGATGTTGGTCTTTAAAGGTGTCTCTGCTGTGAGGTGGCTGCCGTTCCTTCCCGTCCTCTGCCCTCGCGTGTGTCGCCCACTGTGCTATTTTGCAGTTCGAAGTTCGAAAATGCCGCCACTGTAAGCGTACTTTGCCGCGGAGCCGCCTCTATCATTTGCGACACGACGAAATCCTCTGAGCGCTTGTTGAGGTCAGTAAGCGGGAAGACGACCTCACGCAACACAAACCAAAACGGGTCTGATCTTACCGATTTCCTACAATGCTTGGGCCTTGGTAAAGCATAGCGTCATATCTAGCGCCCCGCTTTTCTTGACCGTTTGGGGACGAGTCCGAGGGTTTGAGCTGAGGCCCTTCGCGGACAAGCGCTACTTGAAATACGAGCGAATATATTAAAGTATTACTTAGGCGTCCTTGACGTCGATACGCTATAAGTTTGCCGAAGCAGACAGAGTCCTCACGTATCCTCACAGAGTCCTCAGATCACGCATCCTAAGCAGACATCCTCGCAGCAGGATGGACCGCTGCTAGTCACGGTGGTCAGCGCTCACCCTACAGAACAGCGGCCTGTGGGAACCGGTCCGTCAGCACCGCCGTCGCTGCTCATAAGTTGCCCGGGGCAAATCGCACGGTAGTTGATGGCAAACTTGTAATCTACGGCCGTTACATGATAGAGTAACTACGAAATAAGGGTGTTTGTTATGTTAATGGCACGTGTCATCTGGTGCACTGGGACCCTCTGTCGTCGCTACAGGGCCAGGGCTGTGTGTCCATTAAAGGTGAAACGGTGCATCCGGGAGTAAACAGAAAAGATTTGCTCAAAAACTAAATAGATTTATGTCGTAGACCAAACGCGCTTATAACAGTAAGCAAACAACGAAAAACAAAGGTTTGGCAAGCTGCCATTACCCAGGAAAACATTCGGTAACGAAAGAACACCAGGTCCTATTTCACTGGCGTGGAACTATGGGAGCACACGGTAAAACGTCAGAAGCCTGCTTTCATGAACTATGTCAAATGAGTTCCGGACCGACCAAAGATGTGGTGGAACGATGTTACATATCAATAAATTGTAGGGTGCGCTAGGCCGTGTCCAGTTCACTAATCAGGTAAGACATCCATTGGCGTACTGATCGAACATGCGAGCTGATAGCAGTCAAACGGCAGTTATTTCATCTGCGATTCTCGCCTTCCGTACCACAGTCGAAGCGTTTGACCTACCGCATGCATGTGTCCTAATATTTTGTAAAAAAACATGTTTCGTTTTGACTGGCATACATGGTGGTACCCCGGTTGGCCCACGTGACCTCCAGTTTTACCAACAAACGCGTTGATCCATATGCTGCTTGTGAACAAGTAGGCTTTCCATACCAGCGGTTCTACTCATTCTGTGGTTATGGCAGCAGAACCACTGAATTATTCATTACAGGACGTGAGCTGGGACCACAGGGTCGGGTGACCCGTCAGTTGTGCAGTGTTCGCAGCGTTGCAGAAACATGAATGATCAGCATACTGAGCGGTACACCACAAGATGCTGTACTTATCTCGTTCCCTATCGCGTTAAGCGCCTAGCTCGTATGCATTCCATTGCAGGGTACGGATGTAAGGGCGGTGGGACAATGCTTGCTGTGTTTTTAGGAGCTAATATGAAAACGGATCATGTGATATACAACAAACGAGCAAGGTCGGGTTGGACGGGGAAGAAGCATAGCGGCCGTGTGGAAAACTGGAAGCACACTACACCGGGGTCCGGGGTCCGGGTTCGAAACCCGGCTGTCTCTAGACCTGGGTGTTAATGGTTGTTGTGTTCGCGGTTCCCTTCAACGGGGTGCCCGATGTCCTACCCCGCGCACCGCATAACAACAGGGTCAAAGATATCACAGAGAAGTTTTGGACCACATCCCCTTGTAACAGCGCTCTCCTTGTGCAAAACGGCACCGGGCCAGAACCCACCTGCGTTATATCCGCTGTACTCTGCCGTCCAGCTCCACACGACTCCTGGCGTCAGCAGCGAGGCTGGAGATGAGGCCTGACAGAATGTCAGGCGACAATGCTTTTGATGCAAAACACCAGTCAGTGACCAGCGGCGCCCAAACGCGTCCCGCGGCGGCGCACGCAGCAGAAACACACGCCAGCAAACAGCAGAAGTCGACCGCGGCGGACGCAGAAGACGCAGCAGAAGACTGCGGCGGCGGCGGTGGCTCGGGCCCGACTGCCCGGCGAACGGCGGGCGGCGCCGTTACGTTGACCAGGCTCGGCCAGGCGTGACGGCGTCCGTGCAGCCTGACGGCACTGGAGGGCGGCCAGGCTCCGAACTGGGACACGAGGCGCCGGCCGCCCCCCGCCGACGCCGCGGCCCGAGCCGGCGCACGCCGCCGCGCTGTGAGCCCATCGGTCTGGGATGCGGTCGGCTGGTGAGCGCCCAAACTCCGCGATGTCGAGGTAACTGGACCTGCTGGTAATGCTGCCGCGGCACGGCCGATTTCGTGATAACGAGCACGCTCAGACAAATGTCTGAATGTCTGCGGCGCGGATGGCGCATACATCCGCGGTGGAATTGATCCGCGGCGAGGTGGCGGCTTTGTTCGTGTGCTGGGCGCAGCGCATAGCGAAAGTCAAGTCATGCAGTTCGTGTGTGGGTGGGGTGGGGGGCGTGAACGCAAGGTGCCTCTTACCATCACAGGTATGTCGCACTCGGAAATGAAAGCGCGGAATGATATTCACCGTATAGGCATGTCTGTTCTGACGCCAAGCTAATGGCGGCAATATGAACAGCTGCAGTGGAGACGGAGCAGAGCGAAAGGAGGAAGGAAAGCATCCAGCAGGTCCGGCGTGGTACGTCGCCAACATGTTGTAAATAGCACATTCATCACTCTCTTGGCTCCGAATCAGCGCTTGCAGCTTACGCAAATGTCATAAGCCTTCTGCTCCTGAGCCTCGAATAGTTTGTTTTGCATTTAATGGCTATTAGGCTGCCATGGCCGTTCTTCGGGGAGGTCTGACACAAGGATCAAGTTTAGTGATGGGAGATATGTACACATTTGCAGAAAGTCAGTTGCTACAAAAATTCTCGTCCCGTCATGTGAGCATTACGGAATTCCGTTTGAAAATGCGCTTTGCATTTAATTATTGTGGTGCAAACTGGATTATCACCAGTTTTGATGACGCCCCCGACGTGCACTGTATTGTGATACGGTTGCATGCCCTTCTCCCCCCCCCCTCGCCGTGTAGCGAGGATGACAGTCGGTAGGCATCCCTAGTGGGACTATCTATAGTCCCGGACTGGCAAAGGCAATATGTTTCCTAATGTTCCGCGCACGGGGCCCCTGTCCGGAACAGGCAAGGGGTCTGCTTAGCATTCAGAAGAGCAGCATAGGTCAAAGCGCGATCGAATATTTGTGTCGAAGGGAGTGCTCCACATTGATATGGGGCTTTCAGCTGAAGCAGCCACCTTGAAGACCTTTCGGTGTTGTTTACAGCCTTACCATTCTTAAGACCTACGCCCATCTAGTATCTGAGCTGCACGTCCGCGAAAATGGGGAGAGTATTTCAAAGTCAACTCGATATTCAAGACGCCAGAATAACGACACCCAAATCCTGCCATTCCATAGCCCATGCAGAGACCAAAGCCAAGAAGAATGCAAGTGTCGTGGCGTTCATGCCTGGCGTTCGTGAGCACGATTTCCAGATAACACGGTCGTCAATTGGCTCCCGGTCAATGTTGTGCAGGGTGTATTAACGTGATCAAGCCATGACGCATTGAGGAGCATATTTACTAAGCAGAGAATTGTGCTGTCTTTAGCGGTTTTCTCCACTTAAATAGTACGCCAGTAGTTATAAGTGAGCTTGTTTCATCATACCTTCAATATCTTCAAATGTGAAATATTTCCTTTAAGATGGGAATGCTTACCTGAGACGCTCACCCTGTTACAGAACTGATTCGTGAAAAGATGAGAGACGATTTTTAGCCCCGCGGTCATAATCTTTTGCAGCAAAAACTGCGATGTCCGGCGTGGCGGTCTTTAACGAACCGCGCGGCTTTGGCCGTCATCGCTAACACCTGGTGGCTGACGGCACACACGGGAGAACGACAGTGCGTCGGAAAATAATGTTCGGAAGGACTTTTTTTTAAAATCAATTCGTCCCGATCAAAGTGCAAATTGTGGCGTATTTTTCACCGCTGCAGTTTTGAGGCTGATCCTTTGAACTTGTAAGCAGTAACAGTCACACGATCAACGCGCCACCATTACGTCAATCGTTCTGGGTGCTGTAAATGTAAGATAATTTATCCCGAGTAATAATCTTATTGCACACGTGAAATACATAGACCGGATTCCTTACCACGGGTACAAATTAATGCAATTAAGTGCTCAAAAGTTTTTCTTTTCAACACTAGATCGTGTTTGCCCCTTCGCCCGCCGAATGACCGTTGCATAGTGTTAGCTGCGAAACGGACGTCGAATCGGACGTTAGCTGCGGGACGAGACTTCAACGCCCGGCGTCGTTGATCTGCCAGCTGTTCGCCTGTCGGTGGCACGCAGAGGTTTTTCTTATCGCGCGGCCTTATCCTGGAGCCGCCTGTCGCCGACCACCACCGCCTCCCGCTCCCGCAATGAGTTTCGCACCAGACTGGACGATAAAGAAGGCCTGTTGTGTCAGCATTGCTTGCTCGCAGTTGTGTAGCATGTTTTGAGGACTTAGATTTTGATTAATGACTTTGCTTCTGACAAAGTGGTGTGAACGATGGAATGGTTGATAACTTGCGAATGTGGTCGCGTTGATGACATGTTTTAATAGCGCACTCATAATTCTATTGTAATGGTACTGAATGAAACAGCAAGCCACTTGCCGGAGTGATTCGTGAATAGAATGAACAAGGATCGCGGATGCGCATGCTCAATACCATGCCATAATAGTGTTCTTAAAACGATTCTGGAGACGGATCTTCCGATTTAGAAAAGACCGAATAAACCAATGCGAAATTAAAAGCGTCAACGGGTTATTTGACGCAGCTATTTAATGCCTGGCTCCTTCTTTTAGTGACTTCTAAATGCAAACAGAATTGCATCCCCTTGTGGCTTCTGGCCTCCGTTTCAACGGAAGGGCAACCGATAAAATAAAACAAAATGCTGGGCACCATGGAGACAGGTATTTTTCAAATATCAATATCAGTCCTAAACCGGTGTTTTTATGCGGTGGGGGGCACCAGCAGGGACCAGTTGTCAATCCTGCCCACCCTTACCCCTTGCCACGACTTACCCCTTACCCCTTACCACGACTCTGGCTGCGCCGATTCTGCCAAGGCCAATGTTCTCCGTCCAAGAATGTGTCGACTTCATCCGCATGCGACGGCAGAAACGGGAAGTTGCGAATGCCGCGGCGGACAAGCTGGGGAAGAGCAACTTGAGGCCGATCAATTTAAGTCTGACTGGTGATTACAGTCTTCCGACTCAGACTATTATCATGGTCTGACCCAACAGCAAATGACAGGGTGATCTGTTTGACAGTAAATCCGGTTACGCTTTCCTTTCAACAGGTCACGGGGTCATTTGTTTGATCCGAAGACAGGTCATGGTAAGAAACGCCTAGACAGCCTCGCAAAAGTGCACGTAGTGAAGCGTCATGTTTCGCATCAGGCAATGAGAATATATCTGCGCTGCCGAGCAAAATTAAAGGCAGAGTCGCCAGTTGTAGCTTATCAAAAAACCTCGGAAATGGTCGGGTGCAAATAGAACAAGGAATATTGCCAATACCCAGAAATGATCTAGAATGATGAATGGATGCTGTCTGGTTTGTCAGCGGTGTTGGGCGACCGGGCTGATCGAAGTATGGCGACGGTTGGTCGAGGCTGAAGATTATCCGTTATGTCGGCGAGTTGGACTTGCTGTGAAAGGACGGCAGTATGGCGGAGCAGAAGGAACCTTAATTGAGTGCTTTAGGCTCGTTAACGCCAACAGTTGGGAAGTGTACAATAGATGATGACGAACACTGCCTACCTCAATTTCCAATTATTAATGCCAATGTATCTATAATAGTGTTACTTTTTGTGCCCGCTGTTAATGTTTTTAATATTATCAATTTCACTTTGACTTCCACTTTGTCTTATATCATGGAACACTCCACCATAACGTACACCGTTATGGCTTAACATACGCACACCACAAAAACAGAATGAAAATGCCACAGAAGTTCACGCGATAACACGCAAACGACATCCAAGTTTACGGATACATTTTAGTTTATCAACTTTTCTGATGAATATGATAGCCATGCTATTTAGCGCTGTACCTTTTTTAATATATAAAGACCTTGGGATACTCAAATTAACTACGGAATACTTCTTGCCTCAAATGCTGTGTTTGGGAACCATAACTGGAGTATTGCATACAAGTGAATGTTCTCTTATGACGGAAGGGCTCAGATTCGCAAAAGATTTCCGCCTCCACACTATTGAAAAGGAAGAGGCAAACAAGAAATGTTCAGTATTACAATAACAGCAGGCAAAACAGACTATATAATGAATAGAGAGGCAGACGAGAAATGTTCATCGTAGCGGAGAGGGGAGCTGTCGTAACGTGCGCTCTTCTCTACTCAGTAGCTTTTTAAGACTTTCCCTGAGCTCCCACAAAAATCGATTTCTGCTGAACGGCTTCGTTCACTACTAAGCTTGTTTGTGGATACTTGCTGACATCGATGTTGCATGTCAGGTAGATTAAGTATTTACGTGGTCATGGGGCTTCACAGACACTGACAGGCCCGAAATTCCACCTAAGCTTGGTTATCGAGGAATCGGTATCATAATGGAATATATTGCTCCCCCAAAATGTGAAGCTGGTTATCACCGTCAGCCACTACTGCCAGACCCTCGTAGCCGCTGTTGGACGCCGTCGGCCAGGGGTTCATCCCCAGGCGGCGTTCTGAACCCGCCCTTGCTGTCACCCGCTTTTAGGCATGGCCTCACTCAGCCATTGTCAGACGCTGTCAGATGCAGTCATCCACGGCCCTCTGTCATTCACTGCCCTCTGTCATACGCTGTCACCACATTTGGCCGTTATCAGCCAATGTAAGGCATGTCCTCAGCCGTTGTCAGTCACTGTCAGCAAGTGTCAGACACTGTCATCCTCTGTCTTCTGCCATCCACTGCCTCTTGTCATCCGCAGCTAGGCACCGTCGGCCGCTGTGAGTGGTTGTCCTCCC